TTTGGTTTGGAATAAAAAATGAGACCAGGGAATTCCAATCCAACAGGAAAATGGTACAGATGCAAACAAATTATTGGTGTGATTATAATCACACGTTATATTATTAGAATCACACAAAATTTGATTTTTTTAAGTAAATAGTTAATTATAATATTTAAAAATATTAATATATAAATTAATTTTAATCTGTTAAACAAGAAATATCAATTATTTTATTATTTATTAACTAAAAGTTATAATTATTAATTATTTTTAATAATTAAATTAAAAAAAATCAATCATTTTAAAATTTTAATATTTCAAAGTTTGTATCACTGTAACATTTTGATGGATGATCATAACCTTGCCCCAAATTATCTCCCTCTATATTTCTTTAACCACACACAAGCCATACTTGTTCCTATTTAAAGAAGACTTCTCTACAGGCAAAACTTCCTCTCTTTTTTTTTTTTCCCCTAAGCTCTAGACTTATTTCAAATTAATACATGAGCTCCTGAAACTAGAAATAATACAAATAAACTTCAAACCTCTCAATTCTCAAGTGATATAAATTAACCCTCAAATAACCTCTTGAAAGGTACGAGTAAACTCTAATTGTTAATGATAGGTTAAATGCTTAATTTGGTCCCTTAACTTTAAGAAATGAATATTTTTGATCCCTCAACAATTTTTTGCACTTTTTTGATCCTTCAACTATACAAAATGCACTCCGTTAGTCCTTCTGTTAATTTGGGTCGTTAACCTTGCTTAGGTGGCATTTTTTATATTTTTTTTGATGACGTGGAGAGCAAAACTTAAAAAAGTGATGACATGTGCATGCTAGCTGGCAAAATCGTGCCAGATACATCTAAATGGGTCCCACATCACCATCTTTGCCCATCGGTTACTGTTTTTCTTCCTTTCATGTTCGACAGAACCCAGATCTGGCAAAAAATTCCAATTGTCAAAAACTTCCTCACAACAAATTCCTCAAAAAATTCCCAAAAATCCCTCAATTGCCCGTTTGCCCTCAATTGCCAAAAAATTCCTCACAACAACCTACAATTGCCCAAAAATCCCTCAAAAACAACAACCTGCAATTGCCCAAAAATCCCTCAAAAACAACAACCTGCAATTGCCCAAAAATCCCTCAAAAACAACAACCTGCAATTTGAATAATCTGGCAAACAATCATATAACAAAAACAAAAAATCAGTTGTCCAAAAATAACTAACAACAACCTGCAATTTAGATAATCTCGCA